CAGCTTTGCACTGAATTTTCTGTGACTATTAGTGATGAAGAGTGCTTAAAGTGGTAAGGACATTTAAAGAACGTCTCGTGTAATCAGTTCAGAGGAAGACAATAAATGAGGGTTCACACTGAACCCCAACTAAGCACTTTTACAAACGTAACATACTACCCTTGAAGTTGCCGAAAACTCTTCGACAAACGGCGGTTGGTTTCGTCTTTCTCCGAGCTCATTCGGTGGGCAAGAGATTCAATAGGACCCAACCGGGTCCCCTGTCAAAACTATATTCGTGTGGCCATGAGACTATCCGTCGAGCATAACACTTTGCTTAACTTATCTTTGTAATGAGGCCACCTGTATTTGCTTAATGATGTTCATTGTGGTAGAAAGAAGACAAATATTTACGAGTTGTTGGACCATCATTTATATCCAGCAGGGATCAATATAGGTGTCCCTCGGTTCTCACTAGTCATCAAAATGTGGAACACAGACAGTTATTCCAACAATTGATACCATGTTTCGTCATNATCATTTGGCTTTGTTATTTTCATATAAGTAATAACGGCTGTTCTATAGTTTCAATCGGAATTCCATTCTTCGGATGTGAAGCTGTTTCTTGGTTGCTAGGTCTCATCAGCAATGTACACCTCACGAGCCTGTGGTGAGGTTCAAACCCGCTACTTCCCAGTTTACAGCAGCGGTTTGACTCGCTAGCACTGCATATGGACACAAAGCATTAGTGTGAACCCCACCTGTCCAGAACTCAACTTTTTGCCTCTTCACAAGCCTCCTGTCAGACTGTGCTATACTTGCTCTGCACTTTGGTCAATTTTCCGAGCAGTTCCGTTATTCACGAAAGGTGTACCAAACAGCTCCGAACAGGCCCCAAAACCACTTCTCGATCCTCAGGAAAGATTTACGAAGTCTTGTTTGGATTGCTTCATAAAATATCTGTCAGATGACAAGTCACCAGCAAGCCCCGCCATATTGTCAAAATCTTCAAACAACATCTCAGATTCAAATGCTGCCCTTATAAGTGAAGCCAATCTATGCTGACAAGCCGAGAAGCACTGTACAGTGAGAGTTAATTACACTGCTGATCAGCCGCCCGTGGCCGAATGGGTAAGTGCTCAAATTACTAACCAGGAGGTCGCGGGTTCGAGACTCTTCGGAGTTTCGTGAGATGCTCACTGCTGATGATTCCCAATAAGGATGAAACAGTTGTACAGTGCTTCTCGGCTTTTTAGCATAGGTTGGCTTCACTTACAGGACGAAATCTCCACAAGAATCTCAAATCTCCTCGCATTACCAATCATATCCTTAATTTGTCATGCCACAACTGACACAACTCATCATTCTCTCTGTTTCCCTACTTCTCCATTCAAATGTCAAAATTCGTGATATAAGACACTAAGTGTTTGACTGAGGTACCGGGTAATCTCCCGTAACACTAGTTATTTCATCTTGAAACTTTAAGTGGATATTCATGTGTAAAGTGTTACGAAAAGTTGTAAAAAGGCAAAAAAGAATATCCCGGGATTACCGCATTGTTTGTCCTAAAACCATTATATCCAAAGAATGAGCGATCAAGAAACGGTTTGTGCGAATTAATTCAATTACATCCCATCACAGCTGGTCACATTTCAACCTCCGTTTGAGGAACCTACCAAGGTAACTGGAAACTTGACGCGTTGTTCCGGAACACTATCACTCCGGCGTGGGAAACACCAATTTGAGAATTTTTGGAACCATCCTTCGCATCCTGTAAATGTGGGGAAATGAAGGCGAAAGTAAAAGGTGAATCATGCGCATATGTTGGGTTACTTTTGTAATCGGACTAGGATGGTTAAATTTGTTGATTGTAAACAGCAGGTCCCCTGGGACGCCAGAGAAGATAAACTGATAAAGTGATGCAAAATAAATTTATGTAATCGATGATACACCCTTCAAGAATGCATTCAGTAAGTCTTTCGGCTATAAATCGTGCACCAAAGTATGTTGTTCAATAAAGAGAAAAAAGATATGACAGGAATAAGTCAAAATCAGTGGATTTACCTCGTCTTCACAATCCACCTATTGATAAGTTGGGATGGCTGTGGAACAAATATTACATCTTTAGTCTACACGCATAAATGCTGTCTGTCATTGCCGCTCAACGCAATGCTCCTGACCGAGGTCCTCATCTGGAAATATAACAACTATCACCACGAATGGATTTACTGGCTAGAGCTTCACCAAATCGCCGCCAAGTCTTGAAATGGCCAACCTTAGGCCGAGGTAGGTAGTTCTCTGTTATGCAAAGCACATATTCCGATCAGATTAATTTGTTATGGGCGACCAGTGTTCCTATGTTTATAAGGCCACAGATGCTCCCATGACACGGCAAGGATCGATTCGAAAATCTGCGCCTCTGGTGCGCACAGCAAATCGGCGGTCAGCACCGTGTCCTGTGACCTAGGATTGTCATCTGATCATGATTAAACTTTTCAGATGTTGGCTCTAGGCACACCTCCACAAGAAACGCTTTAAACCCCATACTGCTGGGTTAAGGCCTAGCGTGGTTGCTCACGAAGTGAACCATGCATCTTCCCGCTGATTTATGTGCCACACTACTGAGCTAGGCACCTCAAGCAAACTTCCTTGTTTAGTCTGGGCAGGTGGGAAGAATATAAGCAGCTGCAGTTCTTCGCTCACTGACTCTTGCCTCCCTGATACCACCCGCCAACTGAGTATTCGCACGCCAATTTTTCAAGTCCATTTCAGATGGTTTGGTCTGTAAATGTAAGTGCAAACTAGCTTTTTTCAGCGTAAAATGTAAAGTGCAATAGATTCGGACAGGTGATATTTGCACCTGGTTTGGGAACAGAATATCTAATGAACACTAAAAATATGGAATACTGAGTTGACAGCTGTTCTCAACATCTGTCCGCTCAGTGAATACTCATTGAAAATTAATCGCAAAAATTTTTCTACAGTGATTTTAACTTTCGAGGAAAGTATACACACCTGGAAACGATATACTATGAGGTTGGTTAGAAGGCAGGTTAGTCACAGTCTTGAAGTAGGATCAGGTTACAAACTCAAATGCCATAATGCATGGACTAAAACAACACTGAGAAAACCCATTTTGGGGACTTATTAGCTTCGTTTCGAAAAACGATAATTTATTCGTAGAAAAAATGACGGGGCTATAAACCTTTCAAAGACCACAGATCCTCACAAAACAGCATAGAACAACGCTTGTTTGGGAGGAAAGTCTTCTCAGAAAGAAAAAGTTCACTCCACAATAAAATCTCAGTGTTGATGTCTCTTGGCCACAACAAAAAATTGAGAGATTTGAAGGACGGTCACCCAATAAAGCAGACCACAATTATTGTTATAGAATTCGTACAAATACTTGGAGATATTTTCCAACAATTCACGTCCAAATTATTGATGTCAACTGCTGCACATTTGCACATAACACAGTTCCTCTTTCTAAGCGTTTTAAATTAAATAAAAGGTTGATTGTCTACCCCTGTAAGAAAGTAAAGCAATGAAGATTGGTAAAAGCTGATACATCGTTTCGGCACAGGAAAAATGGGGACTTTGGTTGGGCAACCACGTCATATAATTGAGCAACCGACGGCTCGCATGCCTAAACGGACATTAACCTTACGATGATAAGGGCTAAAGGCCACCAGGGAGTTAAAAGGGTTTGTTGTCTCGTGGCTTGAAACAATGAACTCCGTCACAACCAATTCCTTAGGAATTCCGAGAAAGACAGCTCTTTTAACCGGATAAATAAAAGCTGGTGATAATTTCAATAATTCCTTCTTCGAGCCAGTAAACTGTGAAAATAGCATTCTGAGTAATACGACCAGAAGACTACAGCTAAAACTAAATTCTTATATCCGAAACTGACAAACCTGCCAACGTACAGTGAGATGTTAAAACAGCGTGGTAACTTGGTGTGTGTGTGTGTGCACAAATACTTAGCAGGAACCACTCTAGCACCACTCTAGCATCCTGTAAAACCCGGTTCATTCAGCCAGGAATAGAGCTCCTTATTGACCGTACAGACCAAAACAAAGCAGTCAAAGTTTTGATTTGTTCTCGTTGTTAAATAGGAGATCCTTACTCAGTATATCCTATTGTTTGGTCATTGAATTCACCTAGAGACTTTAATTTATTCAGGCTAATAAACGATTCAGGTTGGTGCCAGCTTGGAAAGCAATGGTTGATACAAAACATTGTGAAGAGGTAAGCACCTTCCCTTGTTTTGGTGAATGTGAAGCCTAGTAGTTGACGAGATGATTTTATGAGGTATATAGGCAGAGCATTATGAATGGATCTAACCCCGCTACGGTAACTAGTAAGAGTTCCAATAATATTTTTCGATCATGCAATTCTACCTTCATCTCTCCCCTACCCCTTCGGTTCCTGTTGGATTCAGGTTTCCACATCACATAGTCCATCCAGCCGGAACGTAGTGTGGTTCATTACTATGATGACACTGGATTTACGTGACCGGAAAAACCTTGTTCTACCTAACAGTTTTTCATGCTTTTCTCACTGGGGTTGTGCAGGCTGCGATTTTTTTCACCAGGATTCATGTTACACATAAACTCTCCGCATTAATTTAAAACAAACTACCGTGAGAATATGTTCATTATATTTTTGTTATGAGATACACCAATCGGTAGCAGTAAAACTGTTCCTATTTGGAAAAACTGCTTATTTGGAGACCGAGACTTGAAAATGAAGCCAGAATCAAACAGAACACCACTGGAACCATTGTATGGTCAAAACTGAAGTTTTGAATCTGACTCACAGTCAGCAGATGGGTTAGTCGTAAATATCCCAAGAAGAGTACCCTGTAATGTAGTACTTCGAGTTGGAAAGGCTCCTGGAAGACCTACTATTTTAATTCTGCATAGAAGCACTAGATTGTATAAACCATGGGTAAGCCTTTATGTGATTGCTTCTGCATGTTGTTTTTGCTCTAACCATGCGCCACACTAGAAAGCAGCTAAGAAACTATGTAGCTAAAATGTTTCGATTGATCATCCTTGCTTAGCTAAGACGCATATTTTGGATAATCTCCAACGGAGTGCTGAGTCATCACTCGAATAATCCTACTGTCACAAAGCAGATGACGTGGATCGAATTCAGTTAATGAATTTAAATTGTTTTTCATCAGTTAAACTCGGCTTATTTTGCTTTTTTCGGTGAACCAAGTGGGGTAAAAGTTGCGTAGATAACCTTCGACCATCTGTACAGTGACGGTGTTTTTTGGTTGGAGAACTTCGACGATAAAACGAATGCCGTATTCGTGGTAGAAAAAGTAGAATCACCGGAAATGCTTTCGTCGCCACTTATTTTTGAAATGGTGGCTCCCCATAAAGAGGGGCCAATGTAAGGAAATACGTTTTTTCATTGATCTAAGGTATGTCATCTCGGATGAAGGCGTGAAGTCCCTATTCTGATCAAAATTTTGTGTCCTTCCTTCGTCAGCTTGCTCAGAATCGTGAGCTGTTTCGTATGTAAGGCTGTGCGCACTGCATGTAGCTGGAACGATTCCGGTGAAAAGTTGATTGAACTCTGGCGGGATAATTACGGAATGCAGAAGTTCCTGTGTGTTTGCAAACTCATGAGTATAAAAAAAGAAGACAATATCATACGTTAAAACTAGAAATAATGTTATGACGCAACGTGGCAAACTCTACGTAAAGTAACTGCCTCAAGGTGTAGAAAAACAGTCAGCTTTGCACTGAATTTTCTGTGACCATTAGTGATGAAGAGTGCTTAAAGTGGTAAGGACATTTAAAGAACGTCTCGTGTAATCAGTTCAGAGGAAGACAATAAATGAGGGTTCACACTGAACCCCAACTAAGCACTTTTACAAACGTAACGTACTACCCTTGAAGTTGCCGAAAACTCTTCGACAAACGGCGGTTGGTTTCGTCTTTCTCCAGGCTCATTCGGTGGGCGAGAGATTCAATAGAATCCAACCGGGCCCCCTATCAAAACTATATTTGTGTGCCCATGAGACTATCCGTCGAGGATAGCACTTTGCTTAACTTATCTTTATAATGACGCCACCTGTATTTGCTTAATGATGTACATTGCAGTAGAAAGAAGGCAGATATTTACAAGTTGTTGGACCACCACTTATATCCAGCAAGGATCATATAGGTGTTGCTTAATGATGTACATTGCAGTAGAAAGAAGGCAGATATTTACAAGTTGTTGGACCACCACTTATATCCAGCAGGGATCAATATAGGTGTCCCTTCGTTCTGACTAGTCATCAAAATGTGGAACACAGACAGTTATTCCAACAATTGATACCATGTTTCGTCATAAATGCATACAACCGTTTTTATCCAGCAGAATTAATATGTATTACAGCATCGGTTTATATCTACCTCCAACAAGGCACATCGCTTCAATCATTCGATGGCGTCTCCGAGGCATTGTCGTACGCTCTTCGTTTCTCTCACAAACAACGAAAACTCTCATTCATTCTGCAACATGCTCACTTGCAACTGGGATTAGATTCTCCTTAATCTTCCCAAAATCACCCAACTTACATGAGGTCGCATCCGATAAGTACTGTCTAAATGCTTTATTCGTTCACCGAACTAGCGATTGGCTTGCATTACCCTTCCAAACTTATTTTGACATCCGGCACACCTTCACAATTCACGCCACTACCCAGTTTCACATCAACTTAACGAACAATCGTGTTCCTTTTTTCTGCCTGATTGCAGCTGGGTCGTTAGGCTGTCAAAAATAACTAAATCTTCCAGTAATAAGTTGCTAGGAAGGCCCCAGAATACAAGAAGCTTAAGCTGAGTGATGGTCAACGTTACACATATGAGGATTATGGGGCAAATTTAAATAGAAGCTTATAGAACTGCACGGAAGTGAGCTTTCCTCGGTGTCAAAATGAACGCAGTGTTGAATTTCGCTGACAAGAAGAATCCGATACGGTTTCGCTCTGTCTGGTCCATGCGACAAAATTCGTTAGGGATCTTACTACTTGTCAGTAGGCAAAAACCAGTCGCTTAGTAGTGACGATTAAACAAAAATAGCCAGTCCCGGAGAAACAATGGGCCGAGCATTTCGTCTTGATCAAAAATAATGAGGTAGGTGCAACATAATCCAGTGACTTGCCTTTCTGATTTCATGGTTCCAGATATTAACCCCATTTCAAACCTCTGTTTTGTGTGTCTCGAACAGGAATCCCATTTCACTTTACTTATTTAACTCCGATCAGACTCTCGTGAGTGTACCCGAGCCACGCTTCCTATAATCCCCTTGATCTGATCATGCATCATTTATTGGGTCTAAAGAACTTCGGTTTTCGTAAAGTGTCCATTTATCTCTTAAGAATTGTGGTTTTTCGGTGAACATAGTGATATAAACAAGGCGGTTTTTTCTATACTGTTATCTCTTAAGAATTGTGGTTTTTCGGTGAACATAGTGATATAAACAAGGCGGTTTTTTTTTTTCTTGCTAGCTACTATTTTGAAATGGTGGTCACTCAGTCGTGTCAGTTCGATGTTGATCGAAAAACTTTCGAGCTGTTTGCTGAGCTTGACAACGGACTTACTAACGCTTCATCTTCAAGCTAAGTGGACAAACAAGCGATGGCGGGTAGATCGGTGTAATCTACTTCACGGTCAGTTTGGAACCATTAGCTTGTGTAAAACATATTATATTTTCATAAGAGGCTAGAGAGAATCACTTGTAGTTAGAGTACTAGTAAGGTGCTGATAGGTCTGACGTGCTTCCTTTTCTAAATCGTTTTGTCATGCCTAAATAATAGCTGAGTGGGAGGACCGTAAGCACGTTTTTTAGTCACATTAAACTTCAAAACCGCCAGATTACTTCCTACCTAACGGAGGTACAATGCAAAAGTCAGGTGTGGCGTAAGGATTTAGGACTTTTTGGATGGAAATGTAGCTAGCCTTTCGCTCACTGCTGTGTAAGCAAACCGATAGACTGAAGCCGTTTAGTGAGTGCCTCAAGCAGTTCTTCGACAGAAAAAATGAAGACTGATAAAGGTAAAAAGCCAAAATTGGTTTATGCTAGCCGGAGGATACTAAGCTCACTCATCCCAAATGAACACAGAACACACTATAAACAAAAATCAGTATGAAGTTTGCTCTATTCATCATTTGTATGTTCTATCTATTTTACCAGATCAAACGCGTCATTTAAATCACACTGTCCTTCGATTCAGGAAAGCAGAACGGTGTCCAATGCAGCTTGGAATGAATGAATAGCTCTCATTACATTTCATAACCACATCAATACATTTGTTATATCAGTCTTGCGGCAGTTCCAAATCGCGTCGAAAAATCACCTCGATTCACAACAAACTATATTCCTCTTTGATTTGCGATCCGATAACAGTCGGTACGCATAACGACACAGACATTTTAGCTAAAACTGAATCGAATTACAGACCAAGTCTAATTCATTCGTAAATGCCGACATCAAACGTTCACCGAAACGGTCACTAGGGGAACCGCTGTCGGCATAGACATCTAAGATTTTTCAGACTGGTGAAGCCAATCCAGTAAATTCAGTACAAAGCATACAACCAGTCAGGCACCAGAAGGGCTAGTACGATGTAACCTTCCTTCGAAATTAAGCGATCAGAAAACACTTCCGTTCGTGATGAATAAATGCACCCAGGACACAATTGGAATACAGGCCATTCCGTACAATTTCCATATCAGGTTAAGCTCTACTCAGACAATGTGGACAAAATTTTTTCCACCAGGTCTCGGAATGTGCAGATGAACAGTCCATTTCACTGTCCAAATTGAGCCAGCTGGATTGGTCACGCGAAATCTGTGAAAGCATTCAGACACAGTTGACTAAACAGTATTTGGGCGTGACTATAAGTATAGTTCAACACAACTTTACTTTGTTGGCTAGACGAAACGGAAGTGTGCGTGTATCAGCGCACATCCGGAAGCGTAAGGCAAAAAGGTGTGATGGATCTAGCAGCGGAATGTTTTAACGACAGCATTCAGAATGTGAACCCATTCGGTTTGGACTCCAAACTTGAAGCTGAGTTGCTGACTGCCTTGAAAAATATTAGCTCGCCAGAATGTATTTAAAGATGGTAGTATAATAGTGAAAAGCTCATTGGGTAGTGTGTTTAAAGGGAACAGAAAACCACAATTAATGACATTTTTGACATTCCCCCTGACGCAATTGTATTTCGTAATTTTTCACTGAACGAAGAACGCGTATCTAACCTAGATCATCACCAGCGCAATTTGAGTCACACAACAGTGGTGTAGACGCGAATATCGAGAGAAGATAAACTGAAAACAACACAGACCTTGCAAACATTAGGGTGAAAATTCATCGCCCAACGGTTTTTGCTGCACAATGGTCCATTGATAGTTTTCAGACTTGTTTTGGGAGACAGCGATCAAGCAAGCCGTAAGTTATTATAAAAAGGACACTGTCCAGCTTGACATCTCTTAGTCTCATGTGTCTGGGAGTGTTTGCAGAGGCCTCTTAAAAAGTGTAACAGTTTGAGTCAAAAGCTTAGCAGGCTCGCATTAGACGCCGTTCCGTGGATTGAAGAAAGGTTAACAGCTGATAGTGATTACAACCTTCACAGTTTCCATGGACCACAAATGCTTGATGTTCATTTTGACAAGCGGTAACCGAAGCACACGAAGACCAATATGATTCAGGACACTTCTCTGGAATTCCGTAATACGTTGAACTGAGGAACGTACTGAAGAGCGATTCTGATCCATTCTCACCAGGCTCACTACGCGAGATCAGTTTGCGGTACCAAATGTCCATTTGAAAAATTATCATTCTCGTGAAACTGGTCACAGCTGAGACAGGGCGATATTGTGCTTCATGAATTTTTATTTTTCATGGCCAGATCTAATTGCTGAACCCAATCAAGTTATTGCTTACTCACACTTCGGAGAAGAGTGCATTCAAAACTAGAAACCCGAAAAGCCTCGCATGGGCAATAAATTTAAAAATGGGGATCGGCTAAAGAACTGCTCTTGAATAAGTACTCGATCAATGCTCCTGGTTCGACTCATAGGTTAAGTAAAGGTTGCGTAAGTAACCGTAGTAACTGAACGTCATCGCGAAAACTTTAATGCTCCTGGACTATGGCCCATCAACTTTCACAAACAGCAGACCACGCTCACACCTACGTTTGACGTTTCCCCTCCCGTTTCGATCCAAAATGGTTTTTTTTCGGGTTAGAACCTTGTAAGGACACAAACTTAATACAAAACAAAGGCCGCACCAGAACAAAACAATAGCTTAAGGACTGGTCAGCCATCAAACACGCCCAACAAAACTAGTAACAATAGAACTCTGGTCATTTTTTTCTTATGTGCACTTGCTGCTAACGTAACCCACAGCGAATTCCAACAACAATGTGGTGGTGTGGCGGACCATTACCAACTGAACTCAGACTTCACGCTTTGATTGGTGGACCAGATAATGGGCCACTGTTCTGTCTAACCCGATTCCGACCACGCCCAGAAGGACAGGCATTCACGTGGTACACGAGTTCAATTTCATTCAGCAAAACATATATAACTAGCACAGTCGGCGCGACTGACAGAACAATGACTCAAACAATACAAATCATCGGTAAAGCATACGGTCGACTACGCTCACCTACTATTCTCATACCCAATTGATGTGGCGTGACACATACAATTAATTTTTCAGCTCTTTGATATATTCCGCTGACTGACGTAACATTCAAGCCGGCTAGTCATTCACGTCACTCTTCAACCGAATTAGCAGAGCAAAGGTGACATCTAGATTCATCTGTTGAAACTACCAAAATATTGTTCCCTCATTCGATATAAACACCGATCTGGTGTATTTTGAACACAGTAGAACGAATAGAGGATTTTCAGTCAGATTTTATAAACCTTAATGGCAAGCTTAGTGAAGCTTTTAGATAAATGATTAACTAAATAAGCTGATCATAAGTACACACTGAACCAAATAGATAAAATGGTACAAAGGAGGAAACAAAGTTTACATATGACTAGGTAGAGTAACGATCTCGATAGAGTATAATTATTCACGATTTAGAGGAGTCAACAAGTACAAGAATGAATTATTACGCACAACGAAACTAACAGAGTTAGTTCTGCCAAGTTGTCTAGTCTGTTCAAAATTCCGTGGATTGTATCACCACTGTAAGGACTAGTACATGCTCTACGTGCTTCTTTAAGAGATTACCTTCTGGACACAAAAGAGTATCTTCTCAGTCAACAGTCAAGTGGCAATAATATTCAGGCATTTAAAAACCTCTATCCTGAATGACACGCCCAATAATTCCTTCTCTGAGGACTAAAAACACTCAACAAGGAAACCGGTTTATTTTTCTCTTGTCAAACTCCATAGGAACTGCGGTTTTTTTATGTATTACGGGCCAGTAACTTTCCGACGAATTTTAGTTGCAAACACTCGCCCTCAAATTGAGCCCCCTGGTTACAAAGCGACCTAGTTCGAACATTAGGCTCTAAGTATTTATGAAGAATTACTCATTTAGCGTGCAAACAGGTGCTGAAGATATTTGATCCCCCTCACTTTCGAGGAAGCCGAAGAACAGCAACTCTAGATCAGTACAACTACCCATGATATGACATTCCAAAGGTCAACACCTGAATCAAACTAATCAGTTCGTCACGAAACCATGAAAAGTGTTCATCATTCCATCTTGAACGCTCATCCCCGGCTTAGCTTTTCAGCCCATCGTCTACAGTAGACACGCGTAAATTCATGCTCAACTTTAGTTCATATTTCACTATGTTGTATAAAAAACTGCCGGCATCAAGAGTCCAGAACTGCATTGCTCACGATGCGTCCATTTGAATTTACACAAACCGAACCGACAACCATTTTGAAGCATTATTTTAAAATTTCCGCGGGACATTTTTCTCAATGATATTTTTTTACCACCTCAGATCAGATATCTTGGTCAAAAAGTGCGACAACCCATCGATTTATCAAGTACTGTGCTTGATCTCAAAATCGGTTGGACATCCCTCCTGCAAGCCTAACTCCGAACAGGTGAAAGCGAAAGCCTGAATTGGAATCACGCGGGGCAGGGAAGGAATATCGGCTAAGAAATGTCAATGAGATACAAGCCCTCTGGTTGGATTAGGAATTTGGGGACCTGGATGAATCAAGACAAAACTTGCCACATCCACGGTGGTCAAGAGACTTTAGCGCAAGGTAGGATTAGATTTAGTCAAGGAAAATCAAGTGAAAACCTATGGACGCTGACGAAGCAAAAGTAACAGTTTTTGAAAACTTATGCAATTTAAAGAGGATAACCCACTTGCTAGGTGCGAGCATTTTTGTTAATAAAACGGAGTGTTACTACAAGCTCACTCCATCTGGAGCTACTCACAAGCCAATCTCCAAAAAGTTCGTGAAAATGGATGCGGATCGGCAACTGACTTCTTAACGAGAAAGTTTTTACACCAAAACCTTTTTTTAAAACAAAATCAGGCAATACAAACCATGGAATCTAAACTCGTTCGTGGTTGTGAGCAAACAGAACTATCCGATCACCAAGAGCCTCAAACTGAGCGTCACCAAGTGCGTCGACTTTGGAATGAAAATTGCTGCAGTACACCCACAACAGCCACTTTTACGTTTAAGATTTACGATGAAAATGTCTTCTGTATCTGAATATACCGGTACAGATGTCTTGTGACTTCGAAGTGTCATAAAAAACAAATGACTCGGAATTCAGTGAAGATTTGATTGAAATTGTTACGACAAGGCATAGTTTCGGTGAAAAACAAGTTTCTGAGTTGTCAGTCGGTCAGATACGTGTTGTCTTTTTTGTCGGGTAGGTGAAAAGAAGGTGACCGATAAACTCCCAGTGTTCTGTAGCTGTGTAGCTAACAGAACTACTGAAGGGGCAGCGCGATCTGGAAAGGACAGTTAGACAGTAAGCTGACATGCATTCTTTCGAGCATTCAAGCCAAAACATATGAAATGAAATTCCATTCGCGCTTGAGCATTACACTCTGATCACTTAACAATGGAGACTTTCTTAACCACGCATCGACAACATTGTGCGTGAGACGCGTTTCTCGAGTGTATTTAAAAAATGAAATTAAGGGACTTAAGGAAGGAATAGATAACTGCCCCTTGTCGGATCACTGAGGTGTCAGATAATGTTCAGTCTATAGTCAAGAAGGCGCAGATGACCACACAAACATGATGGGAACTTACGAGGCAGTTTATCTGCTCACCACCCTCTGATTCCTATACTTTGCTTGTAGCTTCGGTTACAGCCCTCCAATCCAATAAGCCAACCCCTCCAGAGAGACTATCACACAAATAAGAGTTCTCAATTTGGGTCGTGTGGTTTCGGTCTGAATTTTAAAAGCCAGACTTCTACCTTCCAAAGTGGGTTACTTTAAATAGTACCGTAGCATAAAACTCCCTGAAAAGAGGACCATGACACGAAATTCGTGCACTGGGCTTATATGTTTCCTGAGAAATCAGGTATCTGATCAATGGCATGATGATACAGTTGGTCGTGTAAAGTTGTTTTCACCAGTATGAAGTACGGTCAACATCCTTCACGTTTCAGCTAGGATCGACCAAGGTTAGTCCCTTGAGACTACCCGCATCGTAAAAGTCCCCTCTAAGGGAAAGCATGTACTTTTCGTGAGTCTCTCCAGGTGATCGCTCAAAAGGAAACAGCCTCAGTAAATTCTACCGCTCTGAGAAAACTGTCTGGAATAGTTAACAAAAAGCAAATTTTTAATGGGTACCCCTTTGAGGGACGTCGTTGCACATTTGAGACACCCCTCCCGGTGGTGATTCAAGAATACCGAGAAAAAGTGACTATCTTCTGAATGGCCGTCTCTGGGAGGAGCTTTACCTGTTAGGGGCGATTTATTACTTACGGAACCAATCGAAAGTTGTTCCGGAGAGACGGTAATGCCTCTTAGGAGGCGTAAACGAACCGTTGAACTTTATGTAGACAAACCAGAACTTTCCATATATTACATACCAAAGCATCGAATAATTCAGGGTGTAACAGTATGCCACATGTGCGAAAATTCACCCAGCGTTAAGGACTTCTACGGATTCATCACCAGACCACTTTTTGACCACATGTAGCGATTTTCGTTCTCTCAGTTAGAGCGGTATTTTACAAGATAAGTTAGACCTGCCCAAGCCTGTGGTAGCCCCGTGCGGTTCTTCAGAGAAAACCCGAGTTTGGGTTGCTGGTTTGCTTTCCTAGACTTTTGTCCGTTTTGCCCTAGCTAGATACAGAAGGCTATGCAATCCAACCAATAAAATACTTTGATTATGCGCTGCTGACGCCGTCTGTCAAACCACTTATGAGAACAGAACGAGTTGTTTGCATTTGATATTCCATCAGAATAACCGATGACATCTGTCATCAGTTGTCAGCTTACTTCGGTTCCGGAATCTGTTGACAGTTGGCTCTCTACCAACAGCTACGTACAGATTGATAACAAAGCTACTACTAAAAACCACAAGGTCAACTTTGAATATTTAAAAGCTCAGTTTTTTAGGGTTAGGAGGTCATATCCTCTCGGTCACATTAGGCATCTCGGGGGTGGAACGTCCGAAAACTTCTGGTTAAAATCGGTGATCAGATCAAGTACACGGCGCATCGTTGCAACCGAACTGAAAAGATACGGATTCGATGTCACAACACTCAGGTGAACACGACTGGATGACGGAGGAATTCTTTGAGAGGCTGCTTCAGAATACATATTCTACTTCATAGGCTTCCGTTGACGGAGAGAACGGGATCACGATATCGGTTTTGCTCTGTCCAACAGCACCAAGAAAATACTGGAACAAGAACACTGCGAAATCAGTACAAGATTTCATTCATTACACACGAGACCAGCATACCGACGAAGTGACCGCGATCAGTCCACACGCTCCAACGCTATGCTTAGCAGACGATTGTCACGGCAATTTCTACGCGGAAGTTGATGCTGTCCTTCGGTGAAGTTAAAAAACCGATAAGTTTTTATCCCTGGGACACTTCAGTGCACGTGTTGGTCGAGATATCTCCCCAGTGTCAGGCATTCTCAACGCGGGACTGTGAACACCAGCAGTGACCAACTTTCCGAACTGTGCGTTAGCTTTGAAACACCAACACGTGATTTTAAAAAAGCTGTCACGTGGGCAGCGTCACTCTCAACTAATTGATTACATTGGAGTCCACCAGCGAGACATCCGAGAATTGCGCATTGTATGGGTGAGCAGTTCAGTTCAGTTTTTTCATCCGTAAACTATGTACCAAGGGTATTTTGGCTCCAGTTGCTGCACGTTCGGCAACCAGGAAATGGGGGAGCAAAAGGTTCGGTCAAGCATTAGAGGTAATGATGTAATCAGTTCGTTCGCAGTTAATCGGTTCAGATATGTGAGGGAGCTAGAATCTGGAGAGCTACGCAATGAAGGTGATGCTTATATGAGTTCAGTTTTTTCATCCGTAAACTATGTACCAAGGGTATTTTGGCTCCAGTTGCTGCACGTTCGGCAACCAGGAAATGGGGGAGCAAAAGGTTCGGTCAAGCATTAGAGGTAATGATGTAATCAGTTCGTTCGCAGTTAATCGGTTCAGATATGTGAGGGAGCTAGAATCTGGAGAGCTACGCAATGAAGGTGATAGCTTATATGAGGCGAAGCTACTGACTTCATGATTCGACCATGCGTGACTGTCAACCACTAATGAGTTGGATCGCATAGTCCACATTCAGACATGCAGAAATTGTCGATCCGCCTGAGTCTGCCGGTAATTGGTTTAACGCTTCATTGGTCGGCCCCCATAACAGCACAGGGATGGACAAACATAAGTCTGAGAGATGGGCGGTAATCTAACGCGCGAAGAACGTGTCCTAAGTAAAGTAACCTACGAAGCTTAGGTAGCTTGTCAACCTTCTTCCTATATCTCTGGAGTTCCTCAGAATTGTTAATCCGACGTTCAAAACAGACCTGAACAGTGTTTCGTTGGCAGCAATGGTCAAAGCTGAGATTTTTCGTGCATCCTCTGTTCGTACAGGCAAAGACTCTCATCCAGTTCGAAAATTGCTCTCGTATCCACCCAGTTCACCGGAGATCATACAACTCCGCAGGTAAATAAGTTTATCTACCATGCTGATAGACCAATATGCAAGTAAGAGAAACTCACTGTGGATTAGAAGTCCAGCTTGACCGAACGAAACGTAAAATTCAGCTTCGTAAGCCACATTAGGTCAGCCGTATAAAAGTTGGCATGAAACCCCAGAATCAGCGTGCTTCTCCATCCAGTCTGCTGCTTGAGGTGCGGCACAACTTTAGACATTACATGATGACGATAAAAGGCAGGCAGACTTAGCATATAATGAGCTGTTGTGAAAAGTCCATGATTGGGTACCAGTTATAAGAAGACAGTGGGAACGGACTCAGTGAAATCCGAACTCTGGTCGACGGTTTAATGAGTACCTTTGTACCTCATCGAGGATTGCATATCATATAGCGAGAAAAAGAACGCTTAAAAATAGCAGAGCTCACCAAAATTTCGTTTGTCTTCACACCATACCGTTCGAGTTGACGAGCAACGTTAAGAAACTCCAACTCGGCAGTGCATGGTACCATAGAACTGTGAGATATCGAGAGAAAAAAACAGCTGTCAAGCAATTTGGAAAGGAACATTAAAGGCCAAATGTAAGCGCCTACGTTTTAAATTATCTCTGGTCATAACACAGAACCCCGAAAATGAAGAAGCAGGCGAACTGTCATTATAACCTGGTGCTCGAACACTTAGGCAGAAGCCAGTACGCTATTCCACAATCGGTGGAGCAAAGGGCGAGCAGCTAAAGCATGCCCTATTCCCTTTGCCTCGAGCCATTGGTGATGTGAAGCCACGTGGTCAAGGAAACTTGCTCCAATGGGACTACTGCTCCTGTCTATTAATTACTTACTTATTAAGACCGTTTTTGCATATTAGTTTAGAAGCTATTGTTGGTAGTCTGAGGAGATTGTTGAATTTTTAACTGAGATTTTTTTCCTGTAACTGAAGTCAATCTATGCTGAGAAACCAAGAAGTGCTGTACAGCTGTTTCATCCCCATAGAGTCATTAGCAGTGCGCACCTCACGAAACTCCAGGGAGTCACGAACCCTGCCCGTAGTTTGAAAACCCAACCTTTCGATCAAGAGCAGCTGATCAGTGGTGCGACTAACCCTTAACTAGGCAGGATTAAGCATCGTTCATCCTTCACTCACAGGATTCACGTCACGTCTTTACACATGCTGCCCCCCCGACAACAATGTAAAAGTTGCTCAAATGAAGAATAAAATTCACGCCATGGGTGAAATATCTAGCTAAGAAGTCATCGATGGTGGACACAGTCGAAACGTGTGACCACGTGATCGGAATTTCGTGATTCAAGGAAGAGAGGCACTATAGCCTGTTCAAGTGCGAGTTAAACTCACTGCTGATCAACCAGTCGTGAACAAACGGTTAAGTGTTCAAACAACAACCAGCAGGGTTCGGTTTGTGATATGCACACTTCTGATGATTCCCAATAAGGATGAAACACCTGTGCAATGTTCTTCGACTTTCTGTACTTAGACTGGCTTCCCCAGCAGGAGGAACTTCCCATATAAATTTCCAAAATCCACTCACACAACAAAGGATTCGGCCTTTTTGTGACAGAGGCACAATCTACAGCGTACTGACTTGCTGGTAATGAACTGAAAAAGGAATTTACATTCCCAAGTTGGCGACCTTATTTGTGTTTTTCCTCTATAGCTCAGTTATATTGGAGCAGTTATCCCAGGGAACCTATTGCGAGGTGTAGTTTTCTGAGAAGTTGTTGTCTTGATAGTGAAGCAGTGGTCAACAACAACCGTTTGCCTTAAGTCCTACACAATATCTAGTCGCAAACAATATTCTGCACTCACGTTGTCTCAAAAAAGAAACGACATAATAAGCGCTGAATGCGTCTTGATACCGGCACATTAGCCAATATGGTACAGGTACGCTGTAAAAGCCTATTGCCGTGGATGCTGACGGACAATTTTAGACTATAGACAACGAAAAATACGCTTTAATTTACAGGTACCAACTCAGCATTTCACGGAGTTGAATCGTCGGGGCAGTTATCTGTAGAGTGTGGGAATGAATCGCATTACAAAGCGGATTACCAAACAATGGGTTGAAAAGAGTGTCTGATGTGCACTGACCTTCTTAGGGTGAAGTACTTTACACATAAATATTCGTAGAAGTGGAAGTACCCCAGCGTCCCGATTTTCCGGGCCGTATCAACTAGGTGTTGAGTCCACTTAGGGGGGAGTAATACGCGAAGGGATACTTAGAGCACATTCATCTTGGGTTATTTGGTAGGTTGGGCGGTTATCAGCTAAGCCCAAGCTTGAGTAATTTAAAGCTAGTGAACTAAAACGCCAAATGGAAGAATTGTGTCAACCATATGTGATAAAACACATCTAGCAAACATTTTGATTGAGAAAGTATGTTTCTGAAGTGCACATTCATTACAGTTTTCAAAAATAGAACAATTAAATACGATTGGAAGAACCGGTTGGTCCTACGCCATTAGAGACACATTTATGTCCATGAAAAAAACTGACACCACTGAAGCAGTGGGGAAGTTTCATAAAAACTCGTCTGTTCACATTTCATAGGCTTGTCTATTGTCACAAAAAAACTTAACAATGCCTCAATAACGGCAGTATCTAGAGCCCGTTCATTTACTCTTTACGAACTGATCACTGGTTGGACAAGAATGGAAAAAGCACTTCAGCAAGCAACCTCATTGTCAGTTTGTCTAGTCCTGAGGGGCCCCTCACGTCGGTAAAACAATCAGATAGCTGTCAAAACAGCTCTCATATAGCGTCTAGAAAGGGTAATAGAGCACTCTAACTAGTTTCTTTTTATCCCTTGTACGATATCCGGGGCTCTAATGGACACCGAAATAGCTTTTGATCCTGCTTACCAGGTCAGACTGAGGATACCAAAAACAATAAGAGCAGGAATATTGGTCCTCGGGCGAGAGACAAGCACGCTACTATTGCAACTTGAACTCTGTGACCAAAAGCGATGACAGTATCAGGTCTCATTCTTCAGGTAGACCCTCCATTTGACTTGCAACCATTCTCTGTTTATCTGACCAAAATGTCCTAAGATCAATTGGATTTTATTCCATTCTATATATATGTCCAAGACTGAGGATGAATTGTCGGAAAGCGCGACGCTTTTTCAATCACGTTCTGAAAACCATTCAAATCGTCCGGCAGGAAATTGACCCTGTACCATTAAAACAATATTTTCAGTCACATCAGTGAACCAGTCATTAACATCGCGTAGGTTTATCATAAAAAACGAAATGTACCCATCTGAAATCAGTCTCTCATTGAAACGAACAAAATCGCCTTTATGATCCACTGATAACGCAAGTGAAAATGGGAGTATTGATATAAAGGTTATACGGAAATGTGTCTAATTTTATGGATGACTGCGATGGGCACTTGTACTACACTTCTAAAAGCGATCCACCCCGTTTGCCGGCCATTCGGCAAAGCGCGAAGTGGACTTCACAATAAAAAGTGTGATTCAAAAACAATCTTTGTACCCCACCGGTACGGAGATTTCGGCAACAGTGTGTGTGTGCGTATGTCACATGTTAAGAAAGTCTGTTGACGAAAACATGTGAATTGGGCTGAACGGCCGTTTTATCGCTTCATGAAAACTCACCATCCCAAACGTCGTTACACTCGATGAGAAGATTGCGGGACAGAATGTGAACATCACATGTACTCACGTGATCTGAAATGTTTACTGGACTATCTGAAGCACGGTGGATTGCATAATTCACGATCTTGTCTGTGTGTGTGTGTACGGCATAGATTTAGAGGTCTTATTGACCAGTTCTAGAAAAGCAACTTCGGAGCAAAAATGTCCAGTCATCCAGTTGGCTTATTTCGTATACACAAAGATGTGATGAATAAAAAACGTGCTTACCTGCATTTTCGGTGCCATTCACTTGCCTGACTGTCGAACTCAGCTGACTGATGTGGTAACAAACGGAATTGGCTTGTATATCCTGGGTGGCATTCATCCGCGATATAATCTCCCAGTTCGGCTGTATTCAAAGTAAACGAGTGAATAAGTTCCCGAAAACCAGTGGGCATTAGTTACGGAATTCAAAGACAGCCAGTTGACCCTTTCGTTCGAGAGCGGTACTACATAAGTGAAAAGCTTTTTGACATGGAGTACTAACTAGGAAAAAGCAGTTGGATCAGGAAATTTTTTAAATCTAGCGGCACCGGCCACTTTATCTCACCCATATATATATA